TCGAAGCTAAAATGAATTCGTCGGGAGATAATAGAAAGTAGTAGAAAAGTTTAGAACTTATTCATATAACATTTATATTAATTGTAGAAATACTTATATTTTTAGGAACGTTGTAAAATGATAATACTTCTTCTAATACTTTTTTATTTAACTTTAATAATATTACAACTCCTACAAATATTCAACTTGCTAATTGGGTTGCAAAACATGGTATTTCATACACAGCTACATCTGATTTATTAAAAATATTGAAGTCTCGTTATGATTATTCGCTTCCAATTGATGCTAGAACACTAATGAAAATAGAAGTATCACTATTGTTACTACTTTCATTGAAAACGTCAATTCCTAATGACTTCCAACGGAAACCTAGAAGTGATGATGAGGTTAGACGCTGAAAAGCAACTGAACTTAGAATGTTTTTGCTGTACTTGGGACCTGTTTAAAAAATATTATAAATGAAGAATGCTATTTTAATTGTTTATGCCTACATATAAACATTTCCTTATTAGTAACACCGAGTATCTGTAATAGTCTTTTGAATTTTTGCAACAGTTTACTTAAACACTTTATACGGAAATTTGAAGAACTGTATGGAAAAGAATGGATATCACATAATTATTAATTATACATAATAATAAATTTTTTACAACACGTATGTGACGACTATTCAAATTTTGGTCAATAAGATAACTGCAGTGCGTTTCCTTTTGAAAATTACATGAAGACATTAAAAAAATTATAAGAAAGAGCCATTAGCTATTACAATAAGCTGCTAGATATTCAGAGCACTCTACATATAAATCCCAATCAATATTAAATAATTCAAATGAATTAATTTCATACAACAGTGAACATACCAAGATCCCTGAACCACATATTCTACAAATTACGCTTCAATATAAAGTTATTAGCTATAATGACACAGATATTAAAATAAATGATGTCCCCTACAACAATTTTCGTAATTTATATAACAAAATCAAATTTTTATCAAACACCAATAAGTAAAATTAAAACTATATTAAAAATATTATTAATTTAAAAAAACTAAAAAATATCAAACTCAAAGCCACAAAAAATTAATGAAAAGTCGCGGATACGTATTTCGGAAACAATGTTACCATTATCAACGCTAAACACATACTGATACCCCGTTTTATTTTACCAATAAGTAGCTAAAAAATAAATACTTTTCTAGTTAGAAATTTAAATACCTGTAAAGAGTATTGATCAGTATACAGGGTGTTCAGTAAGTCAGGAAACGGGTTTCTATTGTTCTAATTGTTTGTAACAATGAGAACAATAGAAACCCGTTTCTTGACTTACTGAACACCCTGTATAACATTAAGTTTAAACAAGGTGCTTTGATAACGTAGAAAAGGAAGGAGTACTTGGTGGCTGACACGTTACAAAGGTGGTTTATAATAAATTAGAGGTAACACCGCGATTAGAATAACCGTGGAGTCAGTTTATTACACTTCTTACTATAACAATATAGTTAAAAATACCGCAAAATATGTATACAGTGGGGATTAACAATATTAAAGTCCGGTATGAAGTCAATATATATATTTGGACGGCACGTGCAGCGGTTGTAAGTCACAGATGAACTGGTTTACATAGTCGCCGACGTGTCTCGCGGTGCTGCACGCCCCTCCCCCTCCCATCACGACCTGTCTTAACAACCGACCGCCGGACAAGACAAACTAGTGTTATCGTCAACACTAATGATTGCGACGGTAGACAGCTGATAATTACGACCAGACAACGTGCTAATTCACTGTAAATGAATAGTATCAGTGGTGGCTCGTGGGTGCGGGTTGTGGGAGTGCGACTTTTAATATAATACCGCTAGATATGGGTATAAAAAATTGTCAAATTAATCATAATAAAATAAAACACAATACACATATTATTATTTTAAAGGTCCAAGTAAAAAATAGAAATGAAAATAATAATAATAGCGATTTTACTATTATGGCAAACGATAAGCTACGGTCGTACACGTAGTTAATTCTAAAAATAAATTATCCAATATAGTAATATACTAATAATATACTAACTCTCGTACACAAGATAGCAGCTAAACCGCATTCGCACGCACACGACTGAGCACCTCGTTTATAATATACTTATCAAAATATTATTCGGACGACGCTGTAGGTCGTACAAACACTGCTCTTGTGTGCACACAACCCAACCGCATATACCGAGGCAAACAGCTCTAATGTCCGCACTAGACAAATGTATTATAACTATTTTACTATTTAAAAATATGCATTTTTTATAAAAATGTAGAATTAAGAACATACAATTAATAATCTTCTTTTGATTAATTTTAGTAGGGGGTGCGATAGTCCCGTCGTCCAAGCCACGAGCCGCCACTGAATAGTACGCTATTACGGGCCGTGCCATGGCTAAATGGAATTTTTTAACAAGAAATTTTTATAAGTATTTAAATGGTACAGTTTAGATTAAAACATTGTAAATTAAAGTATTATTGTATAATGTGCGACAACATCATATGGGATTTTTACGTTCGTTGTGTGTGGTGGAGACGCTGGAGAAATGTTGCCTTGCATAAGAAAGTGATGAGAAGATGTAATAATACAGTGGGTATGTTCCTTTTAAAAAAAAAACCCAGCACAGGGGGGTCGCGGCACAGTGGTGACGTGGCATAGTTGGATCAAGTATAATGATATCTGACAGTGATTAAAATCACTATCAAAAATAAACGCTTCGATGCAAATCTTTAGATAGTGTTTAATTTTAAAAAAATTGGTGTTTTATTCCAAAAGCTACTTGAT